GAGTGTATAATTATTATGGGCCCTATTGTGTGTGTGACAGGCTGGTATCCTATCTTTGGCTGCCTTTCATTCCATTGATTGTAAGTGTTTGTCGATTTTTCCCCTTTTTTTTTCCACATATTCATTGTTTTTCCTTATATTTTAAAATAATTAATTAATTTGCTTGAAATAATAATATTGCAATGGACAGATAATATTGCTGGTAGGGACTAAACTGCAAGTAATAATTACGAAAATGGGGCTAAGGATTCAAGAGCGGGGCGAAGTAGTACAAGGCGTCCCCGTGGTTCAGCCGGGCGACGACCTTTTTTGGTTCAATCAACCACGTCTCATTCTTTACCTAATTAATTTTGTTCTTTTTCAGGTAAATTTTTCGACTTTTTTTTTTTACTGCGCTCCTTTTTAATTATTATTTTTCCTTCCAATGTTAAATTTTAATTTTGGTTTTGACTATATTAATGCAGAACGCGTTTCAACTGGCCTTCTTTGCCTGGACTTGGGTAAGTTTTCTTAGAATTTTATATATACTATTATTGTTATTTATTAACTAATTCACATTAATTATTATCTTGAATAATATTGATATATAATTATATATGCACATAATTAATTAATTATTTTTCATAATTATTTTTCGTAATTAAACAGTATGAGTTCGGGTTGAGATCTTGTTTCCATGAACACGTGGAGGATATCGTAATCAGAATCTCAATGGGGTGAGCCTAATTATTTTTTTAAACCTTCTATTGGTCATAATTAATTATTTGTCATAACTTAATTTTTTTAATTAATCAAACACTAATCACGTATTAACAATTGGCAATGTTATGATCACGAGCAGGGTTGTTGTTCAAATTCTTTGCAGCTACGTCACACTCCCACTTTACGCCCTAGTCACTCAGGTACATAATTTCATCAAATTAAACAATAAATAAATGAATAAATAAATAATTAATATAAAATTAAGTCTGTTTGAATAATCCGAAATAGATGGGGTCCACCATGAAACCGACGATATTCAACGAAAGAGTCGCCACCGCATTAAAAAACTGGCACCGCACAGCCAAGAAACACGTCAAACAGAGCAAGAACTCCCCCACCGGAACGCCGATGTCCAGCCGCCCGGCGACGCCGTCCCACGGCATGTCCCCGATCCACCTGCTTCGCCACTACCGGAGCGAAATGGACAACAGTCTACAAAACTCCCCGCGAAAGTCAAACCCCAACGTTGACCGTTGGGAACCGGAGTCCCCCTCTCCCACGCGCTTCCACGGCCAGGCCGCCGACTCTTTCCACCACCGCATGAGCTGACACGGA